AAATTCAAATTCGAGGTCGTTTACACATAAGTCAACGTCCGATTGACATTTTTAACTTAAACTTCTACTTTAGAGACTAAGTGTCTCAATCCACTCCGAAACCACCCCGGACCCAAACCAACTAACCCGATATATCATAATATAGCTGAAAAGCACAAAAGAAAGCAGAAATGGGAAAAACAGGGCTATAACTCTCGAAACGACAGGTCATGTCGTTACAGATACCTAAAGAGAATTGTAGATTATTCACTATGTTATTGTGAAAATGATTTACTCTTCAGAGAGTATATAGATTTGAGAGACATAATGGTAAGTAAAGAAAAAATATTATAATACTTACCTACGCAAAAATAATAGTTTATTTTCTTACAAAAGCAATATCTAAAGATATATTTGAGAAACATATTCTGACTCTAGGTTTGCTGAAAATATTTACTCATCATTGTATTATTATTGAGATTGTATTGATATTCTATTTGCTTGTGATGATATCCTTTTGAAGGATATAAGTGTGTCTGACAAGTTGCGGGATCGTCTCTCTCACACGAGAGATCACATCTGACGTCGAGGAACGTACAGAGATAAGAGCTATTAGAACCTTAATGTCACGACCCAAAATTTTCCCACCGACGGGACCGTGATGTCGCCTAACATTCCACTTGCTAGGCAAGCCAATGTTAGAGAATCATTAAACCAATTCCTTATTTCTATTTAGTAATTAACAATAATAATTAAGATGAAATATAATAAGTGCGGAATATCATAAAACTGTATTAATTACTACCACCCGGATCTGGAGTCACAATTCACCAGCATTCTAGAATTTACTATAAGTAATAGTCTAAAAGAAATACAATTGTCTGAATGAAAGAAACAGTAGAACAGAAAAGATAGACGGGGACTTCAAGGTCTGTGAACGCCGACAGATCTACCTTGAGTCTTCGGACAGTTGACCAATAGCAAAAATCTCGATCAGCCCGAGCCGGTATCAAAATATTCACAGAAAGTGCAGAATATGGTATCAGTACAACTGACCCTATGTACTGGTAAGTGTCGAGCCTAACCTCGGCGAAGTAGTGACGAGGCTAAGGCAAGGCACCTACAAATCAACCTGTACAATTTAACAGTGTATATACAAATAACAGAAATGAAGAACTAAACAGGAAATGTCGGGAGGGGAACATACTGAGGGGAATATAAGATAAAGAACTATAACAACATGATCACCAGAGCAGTCAATATACCATGAATCAACACGAATAGTGAATACAGTAAAGAAAAATGCACGGCATCACCCTTCGTGCTTTTACTCTCAATCTCACCATAAAATTAATAGAAACGGCACGGCATCACCCTTCGTGCATTAACTCTCATATCATAGTATGGCATCACCCTTCGTGCATTAACACTCACAATATGGCACGGCATCACCCTTCGTGCATTAACACCCTCCCTTACCATAATGTAATGCATAAATAACAACAGGGAGATAGAATAACAAGTACAAACTTTACTTCAACATTTGGTTCCATAACATCAATCTCAACTTTGAAATAAAAACTCAATTATCACCAGAAAATCCGTAAACATGATAAGAACGATAAAGTGAACAACACTAGTATAACACATTGCAATTAGGCATAGAAATGAGACAATATAAGTAAAACTGAGAAACATGGAAAAACAGGTAAATTGGTGGCGCATAAGTACTCCACATATACGCCGCTCACATGAATTTTACTTAGCAGGTAATCTAAGGTTCCTAATTCCCTCAAGCCAGGGTATGACACGACACTTACTTTGCTCCGAAGGCCACTTAATTCTCAATCACAGCTTTTTCTTTTGAATTCACCTCCAAATCACTTGTATCTATTAAAAAATTACTCAATAATATCAAATATCCCTAAAGGAATCAATTATATTGCGTAAGTTAAATTTTCCCATATTTTCCTCCAAAAAGTCAAAAACATCGACCCCGGGCCCGCTTGGTCAAAACCCGAGGTTCAGACCAAAATCCTTTACCCATTCACCCCCGAGCCCAAATATGTAATTAGTTTTGGAATCCGACCTCAAATTGAGGTCAAAATCCTCAAATTTCGAAATTTCTAAGTTCTACCCAAAAATTCTAATTTTACCATAAGAATTCTAGATTCTAGGTTGAAATCTTGTTATAAGATGTAAAAGATTGATAGAAAAGAGTTAGGAATCAAATATCCCTAAAGGAATCAATTATATTGCGTAAGTTAAATTTTCCCATATTTTCCTCCAAAAAGTCAAAAACATCGACCCCGGGCCCGCTTGGTCAAAACCCGAGGTTCAGACCAAAATCCTTTACCCATTCACCCCCGAGCCCAAATATGTAATTAGTTTTGGAATCCGACCTCAAATTGAGGTCAAAATCCTCAAATTTCAAAATTTCTAAGTTCTACCCAAAAATTCTAATTTTACCATAAGAATTCTAGATTCTAGGTTGAAATCTTGTTATAAGATGTAAAAGATTGATAGAAAAGAGTTAGGAATCACTTACCTATGATTTGGGGAAGATTTGGTCTTTGGAAAATCGCTTCTTAAGGTTTAGGGTTTTGAAAATATGAAAAATGGATGAAAAATCCCGTCTAAGTCCCTTTGACTCAGCTGTAGGTGTCGCAATTGCGACCTGAGCTTCTCAAATGCGAAGGAACACTCGCAATTGCGATGCCCTTCATAATCCCGCTGCCTTCGCAAATATGAGGAAAGTGTCGTATTTGCGACCACTGAACTTCGCAAATGCGATTAGATGTTCGCATTTGCAAACCTGCCCTTCCGAGACTCCCATTGCAATTGCAAAGAAAAATCTCGCAATTGCGAGAACATGCTGGCCCAGGACTTCTTCGTAATTGCGTTAGATACCTTGCAATTTTCAGGCCTGCTTATTTCGCATTTGCGAAGCCTGATCTCGCAATTGCGAGATCAGAGGCCTGCAACAGGTTCAGTTATACCAGCAAAATTTTCTAAGTTCAAAATATCTCGTAGCCTATCCAAAACTCAACCGAACCCTCGGTGCTTCAAACCGAACATGCACACAAGTCTAAAAATATCATACGAACTTGCTCGCGTGATTAAATCGCCAAAATAACACTTAAAACTACGAATTTAGCACCAAATCAAATGAAATTCTCAAGAACACTTTAAAATTCATATCTTCTCAACTAGACGTCCGAATCACGTCAAATCAACTCCGTTTATTACCAAATTTCACAGACACGTCTTAAATATCATAATGAACATGTATCGGGCTCCGGAACTAAAATACGGACCCGATACTAATAATGCCAAATATCAATCAATTCTTAAAAATAATTAATTTTCAGACTTTTAATTTTTATCAAAAATTCTTAACTTGAGCTAGGGACCTCCGAATTCGATTCCGGGCATACGCCCAGGTCCCATAATTCGATACGGACCCACCGAGACCGTCAAAATATGGATCCGGGCCCGTTTACCAAAAATATTGACAACTAAAATAAACTTTTAAGGCATAAATTCTTATTTTTATCAATGTTCAACTTAAAAGCTTTCCAAAAACCTGTCGGACTGCGCACGCAAATCGAGGAGGGTAAAAATAAGATTTTTAAGACTTAAGAGCATAGGTTCAAGTTCTAAAATATAAGATGACCTTTTGGGCCATCACATTTGATTAGTGCAAGGTCATATATTTTTTTAAATAGAATGGTCGGTCTTGACTAGAGTTCAGATTTATGGATTTTATAATCCTTAATGACTTGTTTTGTAAGCCAGATACGAGTTTCTCTAAGAAATTAGTGTTGAAGATTATTGAAGTGAGAAACTCGGGTTAGACATCTGGAGGTGTCTGGATCAAGATTTGTACGGTGTTGAATGAGTAAAAGAATGAGACATGCGCGCCAATATAAGGTTAGAACATTGTAACATGTGTTTCATACCACATGTGCTAGCGACCAATGGGATAATACAAGAATGGATCCCTGCTTCTTTATTGTATGAGATCCCGAAAAGTTATAATAACTTTTATTGGAATACCCTTTGGCCTTTTACTGTTTCTTGAAGTGCCAATCGGTATTGCTACTTTAGCATGTCACTAATAGCCATGGATGATTCGGCAATACAGTGTATGTCTAGGAAATCAATTGATTTGGAAAGGATAGATTTGAGTAAAAAAGGAAGACAACTAAAATAAGTTATTTAACGTTTATCCATGGGTCGACCATTACACGGATCGTGAGGATATCAAGTGTAATTGTAGGTACAATGTTATACATGAACTCGAGTTCACTTCTTTTGAGAATGAGGGATATGATAAACAGCTACTAGAGTAGCAGATGATGTCAGGGGTATTGCGAGTAATACGATCCTCATGTTAGTAGTGAATCTTTTCCATATGGGATTGGATTTCTACATGGAGCTTTTGTATGACCTTAATGGGTTTAAAATATTATAGTTTTTGATACTCGCAAGTCACAAGAACTACTTGTCAATATGAATTCTGTGTGTTATTGCCATGATATTGGGTTGAGTCAGCCCATCATGAGCGAAGTGGGAGATATTGGTTATTGGTTATAGTGGGTCTCTCCATGTGGGCTGTCCCGACCCGGTTAAATAAGAAAAGAGTGAGAGAAGTTATTACCTAGAGGGAAGTTACCATCAGATAATGTTAAAAAGAAGTTGGGAACAATTTTTCTGATAACTTCTATCTCTTTCCTCTTCCATAAAAAGGAAGTGACTACTATGCCTAAAAAAAAAGGATTGAAAATCCTACTTCTTCCTTCTTCTCCATGGAAGGGGAGCATGCTGCATTTCTGCAAGAGGTTGTTTCCACGATTCGAACCCGTAACCTCCTAGTCACACGACAACAACTTTACCAGTTACACCAAGGCTCTCTTCAGTATGCTCAACCAGTAAATTAAAAATAAATATTCCCAAAGAATAGAGAAGTAAGACATGTGGAATTCTTTAATTGTTTTTCCAGTTTAAATCATCTCTGTTTTTTTGTGAACCAAATCCCAAAATTAAGTACAATATGGTCATTAAGATAGACACACTCACTCTCCACATATTTTTTACCAAGACTCAAATTCGAAAAATGGAAGGCTTCTTTCAGGCATTTGGAAGAAAACCCCTTGAAAAGATGGTGAATTAATTAAAACCACATGATTAAGCAAAGAAATAAAACAATACAAAATAATGCAGATAAAGCCAACCCAAATGGTATAATAGTAGGATTTGAATCGTCGTTGTAACTAGCCATTTTCCATGCACCATTATCAACAACATCTATTGATAATATCTCAATCGGGAATCTACAATTTGGTGTAGAAGGATCATCTGTTGTAATAACGCCCAATCCTTGAAAATCACAATAGTCAATCTGTTGACTATTCATCTGGAAATACATATTGAATGCAAATGAAGAACGCTGAGTAGAATTGAGATTATCACAAGTTGCTCCAGGTGATAATAACGTGCAATCCGATGAATTGCACGCATAATTAACTTGCTCCATCAATTTTTCATTATCAGCATTAACACTATGATCGTAAACACACCATCGATTTGGCATTTTTACTGTCCCTTTTGCTGTAGTTGGCTCTTCATCCCGATCTTTTAATGTGAAATCAATCTTGTACTTAGGTGATCCGTCGTGTCTATATATACCCCAATGGCGTTGATATTCGCCCCATTGTGTTACCATCCTGTTCTCATCAGATAACGCAGTGATATATACATTGATTGTCTTGTTTGGACGCAGAGGTGTTCCTTCATTTCTTTTTAAATATCGAAGTAAACCACGATGATATCTTTCTGCATTTTTTGGATTAGCATTTGGAAAACCATCAGTAGGCCAACCAACTTGTCCTACGATAATTTGCATGTCTGAATATCCTGCTTTTGTTAAAGCTGAAACTAGGGTATCGTATGTGAAAGTGAAAATGTTTGTGTAAATATATGGACCGTCTTTGATAGAGTAATTTGAATTATTTTTTCTATCAAAAAATGCGAAATCAACTGGCATTTGCTTAGAGGAGAGGACGTAAATTGGGAAAATGTTGATAACCAAAGGAGCATTGTGTTCTTTGAGGAAACTTAGGAGATCCAACATTTTGCCTTTTATATCTTCTCTAAAATCACCTTGTGATGGTTTTGTCACATTTGTCAAAATGTCAGTGAAGTGTGCTGTTGTCGTTTTGATATGTTTGAGGTCGTGACGATCTAGGGCTTTTCGAGCTTCTCCCAAATAGTATACAACTTCGTCATTGATTCTTTTCTCGTATCTTTTGGTGAATGGTTCATTTCCCACGTAAAGATACCTGAAAAAAGAAAAACATATATAGGAGTAAGACAATCAACGAAGAAGACTATTGATACAAAACGTCATAAAAGACAGCTCGGTGTACGAAGTATATATTCTGAATTTACGTAGGGTTTGAGGAATGACCGCACCCTAAGAAGTGTGATGCAAGCAATCTACCCTGAGACAAACATTAGTGGCCGATCCCATAGCTCGAACCCTTGATTTATAGGTCACATCGATACAACTTTACCGTTGCTCCAAAGCTCCCCTGACACATAATAGTGGAGCTAATCCATCACCTACGGGTTCGGCCGAACCCGGTAACTTGGCTCCAATCCATGTGTTTGTCTTAAAGAATCAATTGAATATGTATACTAATTATTAATTTAGAACTCACTAACTTAAAATGATTAAAACCCCAAATCCATAAGCTTGAAACTATGGTTCCGTCTCTGCTAACACAAGTCGTGAGAATTCCGGATGACCGGTGTCACAAGTCGTGGTCGCTTCAAATTTGTTCCGCTTTGGAGAACCCGTAAGTCTCCTAAACTAATATTTAGGGTTAAATACTTCAAAATAAAAAAGAGGAGTTTTGAGAAAGTATATAAGAACCTGATATCGACTCCATTATCAACATGTTTCTTGACATTTTTTGCTATCCAATCATAAATATCCTTGGAGTTATTCATACGTCGAAGTTGGAAATCTTGAAATGTGACTGAGAGACCAATACTGCTATTGGCAAAGGCTGGAAGAACGGTTGTACTGGGACTAAATAATTTCAATTCTGGTATTCCATTTTGTAATAGCAAATCCACCACCATAGATGGTACCAATTGTTGTGTTGCCATCCTACCCCAATTGATACCAACAAAACTATCGATGGGAACATAATTGAATGAGAATAATGTTCCCAAACTTATCCAAAATAATAAGATCGTTTTTCTATACATGATTGTCAGAGGAAAGGCTCTTTCCCCGACCTTGTGTGAATACGCCGGAATAATGTTCCCAATGGAATGAGAATAATGTTCTCAAAATATGCTTCGTGTACAGGGCTGCCCCTTTGCCTTTTTTATTATTGTAGGAAAAATATTTTGTTCATTTATGGTTTAACTTCCTTAGGTGATAGTTTTGAGTCATGGGGGTTTTGTCCTGGATTAACTGAGGAGGTTTGATTTATCAATGTTAATGAATTTAAAGTCCTACATATTTTAGGGTTTGGAAATGTGAATTATTGGTACATGTTTGTTAAGAGAAGGAAATGAGAGGTGGATGAGCTTGAAGGAGAGAAAAAAGGCGAGGGATTTGGGTTTGCTTAGGATTTTGAGATGGTAAATTCATTAATTAGAGATTTATATTTTCTCTAACAATACTATATTCATAGTTAGATAAAAATAGGTAGAGTTACATAAATTAGCGAGGGATTTGGGTTTGCTTAGGATTTTGAGACGGTGAATTCATTTTCCTGTTTTACCTTGAGATGATGAATTCATTATAGTCAGATCTTTCTGTAACAATATTTATAACAGTCATTCACTATAAAAGTCAATTTTTTTTCGGAACCGATTTTTATCCTCTATAACAACACTTCACTATACCATCCAAAAAAATATTGGAGCAAACACGGTTGTTATAGAGATGTTTGACTGTAATTACATATTTTATTACCAACCCCGCAGCCAATTAGAGATTTGTATTTTCTCTAACAATACTATATTGTTAGAAAATGTTTAGGTAGAATTACATAAATCTTACCTGAGACTACGAGTTTTAACCATCCTTCATGTGTGGTTTAATTTCAAATACTATAATTTACGTGAGTGTTCCTTCTTTTATAGTATCTATATATTATTAAAAGGAGAGGAAAAAACTATCTCCTTAAGCCAAGTGACAGCCTTAAAATTAGCCACATGTAGTGTATTAACTAATTAACCATTAACTAATAATTAATTCTGCCACATGGCATAACTAGAAAAATCCACATATAACTTATTTCATAAATAATCAATAATAAATAACTAAATCAAAATATTAGAACTTTTACTATATAATAATTTAAAATATTATTAACATATTAAAACAATTTATATCTTCTATATATAATAAAAGGAGATGCAAAAGCACAATATTAAGACAAGTGACATAACCACAAAAAGTCAAGTGGCATTGTTAAGACAAAATAAATTACCTTTCTACTAAAAAAACTTTTGAATTTTAAATTTTGAATTAATTGGTTACTCTATTTGAATTAATAAATATAGATATCTTATAATTAGCTATAAAAACAATACTTAAAAAAAACTACACATTCAAATTGGGGAGTAGTTTCACGTAGGAGTTTTAAAATTATTTTAAAATACAAAATAAAAATAAGAAAAAATAAAATTTGCTATAATAAAAAACGAAAATATATAAATAAATAAAAACAACTACCCATTCAAATTGGGGAGTAGTTTCAATTTGGAGTTTTAAAATTATTTTAAAATTAAAAAAACAAAATTTAAAAAATATTTCCAATTCAAATTGGGGAGTAGTTTCAAGTTGGAGTTTTACAATTATTTTAAAATAAAAAAACGCAAAATAAAAAAATAAAAAAACTTTCAATTCNAGAGAGAGAGAGAGAGAGAGAGAGAGAGAGAGAAAAAGGCATTATTCCAAGTGGTAGCCTAGAAAAAAGTCACATGGCATAATTAGTTAATAATTAATTATTTAATTAATAGTTAATTATTTGAAATTTACAAAACATTAACTACTTAAACATGGGTGAGGGTTGGTTTAGGTTAATTATTTTCTTTGTTTCATTTTTTTAAATCATTTTAGTTTTTCGTTTTTGAAATACAAAGTGTATTTATTCATTAATGATTCAAACAATATTATTGAGAAAAATATAATAATATATAAAATAAAACAAATCTTTCAAGAGTAATAAAATATATATCTTCTATTATATTACAAAAAAACAATAGCAGACAAAAATATTAACAAGTAATATGCTAATAATTTCTATTAACAATGTAATTATACTAAATATTTAATAATATAATAATACAGAACAAAAAATTTATTCGATAACTATATAAGTCTCTTTAATTTAATAGAGATTTTTTTATTAAAATTCAAACAATATATATTCTATCTATATAGAATAGGAGAAGGAAATCAATGTGATGATACCAAGTGTAACAATAAAAATTTAACAAGTGTCAAATTTCAGGACAAAACTCCAACAAATTTGGAGATTTAAAAATTATTTATTAAAAAAAATGAAATGATAAAATTAAACAAAAAAAAAAGATACAAAGAAATTAACAAGCTAAAATTAACTACTCAAACATGGGTGAGGGCAGTTTTAGGTTATTTAATTTCTTTCTTTTAAAAAAAATTATTTTCGTTTTTCTTTTTTAAAATAAAAAGTGTATTTATTCATTAAAAACTCAGGCAATATTATTAAGAATAATATAATAAACTATAAAATAAAAAATAAATTTCAAGGGTAATGAAATATATATCTTCTGTTATATTGCAAAAGAAAGCAATAGATAAAAATATTAAACAAAGTAATATGCTAATATTTATTTTATTAACAGTGCAATTATACTAAACATTAGATAATATAATCTATCTATCTATCTATCTATCTATCTATCTATCTATCTATCTATCTATCTATCTATAGAGAATAGGAAAAGCAAATCAATGTGATGATGCCAAGTGTAATGTCACGATCCAATTTCCACTATAGGTCGTGATGGCACCCAACGTCACCGTTAGGCAAGCCAATAGTGAACTATCAATTCAGTCATTCATTTTATTAATTTTGAAATCATAAGTTTTATTAAGTAAAGAATTCAATGCCTTTAAAAAAATCATGAATATTTAGAATATTAGTAAGATATAAAATAAAAGATGATAATATCAAGCCAAACCATACACAACCACTAAAGTATCACAAAAATCGGTGTCACAAGTGCTTGTGCATTTATTAAGGAATACAATAATAATACAACATCTATCTGGAATATAAAATAGACATGATAAAGTAAATAAATAAGATGAAGACACCGAGGGCTGTGGTGCGTAGCATAGAATACAACTCACTCTAAAGTCCCCTCAGCAGCTGCGCCTACGCGCCAAGATGACCCTTAAAGGAACCTGTCAGATCCTGCATATTTAGTGTAGAAGTGTAGGATGAGTACGTAAATCAACGCGTACCCAGTAAGTATCTAGCCTAACCCCGGAGAAGTAGTGACGAGAGGTCGTGTCACGACCCAAAATCCCCTAAAGGCCGTGATAGCGATCAACGTCGTCGTCAGGCAAGCCAATGGTGAATTATTGACTTAATTACTCATTTTAAAAATTCCGAAGTCATAAATCTCATTAAATAAATAAAATAAACATCGGGTACTCGTAGGAGCCCGCAAATTCTCTTTATAAATTTCCGTATAAAATATAAATTAAAAGGTAAAATGATAATAATTACGTGAACTACATTAATGAACATCCAGTAGGAACCCCCAAAACCCGGGGTCATAAGTGCATGAGCATCTACCAAGAAATATAATAAAATACAACATTTGTTTGGAATACAAGTTAGACAAGAGAATGTAAATAACTCTAATGGAGACTCTGTAAGCTACAGATCGTAATATAGAATGCAGCTTACCATAAAGTCCCCGCAATAGTCGCGCCTATGCGCCCAAAAGACCACCAAAATATATATATATATATATATATATACCTGCACAAAAAGTGCAGCAAGTGTAGCATGAGTACGTAAATCAATGCGTACTCATTAAGTATATAGCCTAACCCAGGAGAAGTAGTGATGAGGGATGGACATCGACACTTACTAGTGGTCTAATAAATCAAGTACAACAGAAAGTAGACAAGTATGAGGCATGGTAAAAATAGTATAAATAAATTTAAGCACGTGGTACGATACTCCTCTGAACAGTAAATGCAAGCCCTCAATTATCAGTCACCTCCTCAATCGGAGTATGTATGAAAAATGGTCCCCACCAGATAGACCGTTACAACTCAAATCAGGAAAACTCACGGATATGATGGCTTCCTGCCAAACATTACGCACGACGCTGCCGAGGCGAACGACCCGATGCCAAAGAGTATTTATAGAAATGCCGAGGCATACGGCCCGATCCCATAATAATGTATACATTGTCGAGGGTCGAACGACACGAACCATAAATGCATCTATTATACTGCCAAGGCGAATGACCCGCTCCTATGAGAATACGATACTGCTGAGGCAAATGGCCCGATCCCATTAGAATAAGAAGCTTTAACAGGTCCTTGACCCCACTGACGAAGTGTCACGACCCTAAATTCCCTCCGTAGGATGTCGTGATGATACCTAGTCTCTAAGACTAGGTAAGCCTATCAATGCGGAATAATAATAAATATCTGAAATAAATAAACTACAATTCAAACAATTTCAACTCCCAAAACCCAGTAGAAATAAGTCACAAGCTTCTAAGAATTTATTCTCAATGTCTCTATATATCAAGGTCTAAATAAAATATAATGAAGCAACATAAAATGATAGAAGGGGACTCCGGAGTCTGCGGACGCTGGCAAATATACCTCGAAGTCTC